GTGATGCTTTTACTTTCAATATATATGTTGTGGGGTTGGGCTGAAATGTAATTTTTTGCAGGTACGCTAACCACGAATGCGTAGATTGAATGTAGCTGACGACTAGCTATATATCGAGAGAGTACGTGTATGCCACCGAAATAGAACGTGATTGCCAACTTAGGCTAGCAATTTTGTGAGGACGAATAGGACTAGCATATATCATGATTGTTCCTTTGTGCATGAACATGCATCCCTCACCCTTGTTCTATTAATAAATAACTTGTTGCAACTTGTGATCAATGTGATGTATCTTCCTTGTGTGGAGAAAATGTGCTAGTCTTGTAAATTCCATAACTTGAGCTAGGAACATCCATATTGGGTGAAACCAATTTTGATAGTTTGTTTTAAGGTGCTCTACCTAATGGAACCATGAAACTTGTTGTTTGGCAACTTTTCATATGCAGTACCTTTTATCTTTGAAATGTGCTCTTGAAACTTGTAAAACATGAAAATGGAGCTAGGAGTGTCTAAAAATTGCGATTCCAGTTTTGTTAGCTTTGTTTTAACAAGTACTAGCTAGGAAAAATAATGAATCTGCTGCTTGAGTGTGTTTTCTGTGCTGTACTGATTTAGCCTTGTTCCATACTTGCTTTCTTGCCAAAATGAGATTGGGAGTTATTTATGTTCAAAATGTGTGGAACTAGTTTTCATAGATTCCTTGTAACATGCTTGCTGCAAGAAAAATATAAAACCTACTGTTTGACAATGTTAAGTAGGCTGAACCTGTTTAAGTTTAATTAAGCCTATTCTGCTTGTTATTTTTGTATAGGTTGTTTTATATATCCAAAATTTCTGAAATTTTTACAGTAGATTGCTAAATGTGTGTTTGAACTGTTGTAATTTTCTTAGAATTTTATCTATTCAGGAAATAGCAAATCTCTGGTTCACCTTGCTAGTTAAGTAAATTAATAAATGCATGTAAATAATTTATTTGGGGTGCAACCTTAACTTTTCTAGTATGTTTAGGATGTATAGAAACGGTTGTCATACTTGGTTGTGTCTACAATTAAGTTGTTGCATGCAATTTGCTTGTTGTTGGTTAACTAGTGCCTCTTTTAATCTTTTCCTGGAATGTTTGTATTGTGTGAGCTTTATGCTTAGTATTAGTTGCTTAAGTTAATTTGATTGAGTTTCTCAAGTGCTTGCTTAAGATCTTGATGTATGAGTAGATGTGTTGTTACTTAGACGATACCATAGTTGTCACCCTTTTTGTCCTCGGTGAGTGTATGAGTTGTTGAGCCTGTGATGAGACCATGCCCAAAATTCTTGTTTCGGTATATCTGTTGCTATCTAAAAAATGATATGGCGCTAGGGTAATCTCACTTTCCACCTTGACCTTGTAATCTTTTTCCTTGCGATCGTCCTTGTTTACTGCCCCTCCTTCGCATAATGCTTGTCCATGTAATACCTATATGTGTCACATGGGATTTCTCATTGGTTATATGCTCGATAATGGTGTCTTGATTAAGAACCAACGGTGCCGCGACGAAACCAAGAGCCTCCTGTGGCGGCCGACACAAGGCTATGCTACTCGGCACGCGCTGGTATTGAGGTTTCTAGTCATGATCCATTACAGAACTACACCAGTGTGTTATTTCTCATGATCTTTTCCTTGGTTATCTCTCCATATCCTATCAGAGGATCCACATACCAGACTAGAGGCAGTAGGACTTCCTTCTGAAGTTGCAAAAACGATATCCTTTGAAGAACGAGTCACCGGCATAAACATTACCAGACTGCAATAGGTGGTAGACAAAGGACCTTGCTTGACCGTGTCTGTAAGTGATGTAATCATCTATCAAGCAACATATGCCATCAATATTGGATCAGAAGGGCAAAGCAACGACTTACGTCTAGCAGTTCCTACGGAGTTTCTGAGGAGCTATGTGCTACCACAATTGATGAAAATCGATGACTTGCTTCTCTTCCCTTGAAAGTCTTTCGCCCGGAATCTCGGGACGAGATTCTGTTAAGGGAAGGCTGTAACACCCTAGGTGTTAGTCACAAGTTAAACAACGAGTTTGGACTCAAGTAAGTTATATCATTGATGGAATTGCGGTGTTAAAGTGAATGGGGACATGTGAAGTTAACCAAATCTTGCAACCTTGCTCCAACAACTCTAAATAAACTCATGAACAAAAGTTATGAATGGTTCATGTTGATCAAGTGTCAAGAAGATGCTTCAATGGACCAAAGAGGATAATTTGAGTTTAATTATGATGCTGTTTTGACCAAGATGAAACAATGACTTTTGTTCCAAATATGAGGTTTGACCTTCAAGCAAAGTGTTAGTTTAGTTTGAGTTCTACAAACTTTATTTTTGGTCCAAGAGCTAAATCATCTTCGAACTTGGTTAAACAGTGTTTCAAAGAGTGAATTTTGTGATGTTTTGCTGCTTCAGGAATTTTCTCTAAGTCCTTAATCAATAGCTGTGAGTTGATATGTTTGCTACATTTTATCTTCCAAATTCATATGGCAGCTCAAGTGAATTCCTGAATATGAGTTGAAGTACACTTTATGCTGGAAACAATAAAGCAAGTCGTACTCTACATAGCTCCAGCAACAAAGAGAAGTAAAAGCAGCACAACTAGCATTACAATTTACATTCCATAGTACCATATTGTTACTGCTTGTTCATGGAGTTTTTGCCAAAATTTCTACAACAAGTAAATAGAGAAATGTTAGTGACTACTTCTGCACAAAAAGGAGCATTTTTCGACTATGTTGCTTCCTTATGTGCAAGCAGCCATGTTTATAACCCAGCAGTTTGTAGGCAGATTCATAGAAGCTATTTTTTCATATGAGTGCATCAGGCTCACAGACTGTCTAGATGTGATAACCTTGTTTCCACCAAGCTTTCTCACAAGTAGTGATTGGAATCATAACTGTCAGGCTTATTTAATGTCTTTTTCATTTGTTTATCACATAGGTTGGTACTCTTGGGTCATCTATTCAAATGGAAACTCTAGATGAAACATTGAGCAGGATCGCTAGTGGAGTCTTTCGTGGTCATGTGAATGCCACAACAAGTGGCGGGGGCACCTACTCTCCCAAAGAAGATGATTTTACATTGCTTTGACATGTTTTATTGTTGACACAAGACTTGGAACTGTTGTACTATGAGGTTTGTGACTATTGTTAGTTTGTATTAGTGCCTCTACAGGAATATTGCAACTTAAGACCCTATGGATTGATGAATGTTGAATTGATGGAATCAATGCATGTGTACCTTTCCATGTTTAAATTTGTATGTGAATTCAAATGTATATTACGTTTTCATTTCTATGATGTGGCATGTTGCATTTCTTCCCTACAAATTTGATCTCCTAGGGAAATTGCTTTTGCATGTGAATATATTGTTCCCTACAAAAATCACCCCCTAGGGAAATCACCTTTACATGCTAGACTTTGTAGTGGCATGTCAGCAGAGGTCCCTAGGGGTAACAAAACCCTAGGGAAATAGTTTTTTGCAGCAAAACCTTAGAGCACTTGGTCCTTTCTCGTGAAAACACTCCCTTGGAACATATCCCCCGAAACACCTTAGGGAAGAGTATTTAGGCCTTCCCCGAGGGTTTTTGGCCCTAGGAAAATTGGTCCATTCTAGTAGTGCGGAAAGGTCCGGTTGCCTGCGTGCCCGGGTGCTCCATTTGAATCAAAATGTTTACGAAGGTGCCTGGGCATTCCACGTTCGGATCATCGGGCCATCGGTGGATCGCCACTTGACGTGGACCGGCGCCGGCCTCACACTACCGGATTCAGCTTCTTTGCCGAGTGCCTCAAGCACTCGGCAAAGGCCGATATACACTCGGTAAAGCCTTTGCCAAGTGTTACACTCGGCAAAGGGCGCTCGATAAACAGTTTATCGACAAAGACCTCTTTGCCGAGTGCACTTTATCGGGGACTCGGCAAAGCCTTTGCCGAATGCTAATCTGACACTCGGCAAAGAAAAGTCGCCGTGACGGCGAGCGCCACCATGACGGCGGCTTTGCCGAGTGTCAAGGTCAAGCACTCGGCAAAGGTCGCCGCTTTGCCGAACACCGTTGACTCAGACACTCGGCAAAGGTGGCCACTATGCCGAGTGCCACCGGCAAGACACTCGGCAAAGGTAGCCTATTTGCCGAGTGTCCCGTCAAGACACTCGGCAAACAGGCGACCTTTGCCGAGTGCCTGGCCCGTGGCACTTGGCAAAGCATGTTCCCAAGTAGTCACTTTGCCGAGTGTCATGGCTATTGCACTCGGCAAAGTAACTGAAAACAGCTTTTTTTATTTGTTTTTTACATTTCATCCAAACAAACAGAAGATATATATAACAAACATCACCGACATCACATATATATCATCAACAACACATATATATCACCAACACCACATATATCACAAACGTCACATATATATCACAAACGTCACATGTCTCACAATATATCACAAATAAATTCACAAGTAATCCAAGTGCTCCATCATCTACAATCACAATTGCAAATAGAAGTACCATTAACAACCAGAAATGCGATATTTTCTGCGCATGTTTCCCCTGTGAGTCACCCCGACCTTCACACCTCTTAGGGCTTTTTTGGGCCCTGTTCACGTGCCCTTGAACCTGGCTTAGATTCGCTTATTTTTTTTCATCCGGATCAGTGTTTTTCTCTCACAGATTCCTCCAGTATTCCTCCAAACCATCTAAATTCCTCCGAAATTCAGACAAGCGAACATGCCCCAAGGATCTAACTGAGATATCTCTGTTAAGAAGCCGGGCAACAAAATCTCACAGGGAGAGGCTCGATAAATGCAGTAGAGGACATATCTGCAAGAGCACAAATCAAAGGCTAAGAAAAGACCAATACTGATTCCATAAACTACACTGGGAGTCCATAGAATTAGAATTTAGTTACAATACGCCATGGATCATCTGTGGCAACTGAAAGATAAACAATGAAACAAAAAGGTTGAAGTGACAGTATCTAACCAATATTCAGTGAAAGGCCCATCTGTGTCGGCCTTATGCTTTGGTAAAAACCGCGCCAACTTTCCAAACCCTCACCAAGTTGCTGGCGTCTCCCTAAGTTGGGAGAATAAAATGACCTACCAACAGGAGAATACCTGCACAAGAAAAATGTAAGGCAATGAAGACTTTGACTTTTGCCATGGAAAAAGTAACTAATAAATACAATTAGCTCAAGATCACCTCGCAGTAGGCAATTCACGTAGTACAATGTCAAGCACTTGAAGAGCTTCTTGAGGAGCATCTGCTTGCCTTCCAGCTAGAAACATAGCCAGATGGTGGAGATCAGCACGGGCTGCAAATTTGATCACCACCCTAAATACTCTCTCGCGCCTTGAACAGAAAGGATTACAGCAGTCAGCATGAAATGTTGCATATGTTCTAAATACAGACACAGCATAATGACATACCTTTGTCCACCTTGGCCACCGCCAAGACTATCTTCCTCATCTTGCAAGGTAATTTCAAATGTCATAGAAGTAAATGGCAATGGTCCAGCGGTATAAAGGCTCTTTCTTCCATCGTACGCAGGTAGACGCCCACCCAAATGGGAGTTTCTATATAGCGTTACAAGCTCTCCCATGACAGCACGATTAACGCCACGTGAAGTAACCTCAGGTGTTATAGATACCTGATGACAAACGATTGGTGAACAGAAATAACAACATAAAAAAACTGACATGAAATTATTCCCTACGAGGAGCTTACATCATATTGGTGAAGGTCTTTGTCAGGAAGCTCAGCAAAAAAATGATTTGCCTTCACAATGCACCTGTCCCCATCAGCCTGTTCGGGAGGCCGTATCGTATCGTGGATTATTTACTGCTGGCTGGTTTAGTGTGAGAGAAAAACATTATTCCCGGCTGAAAATTTACGATCGTTTACGAGCAAACGAACAGGCTGTAAGTGCCCTTCCCAGGGCGCAACGGGAATTGGACCGATTTGCTTGATGCTGGTGCCACTTGAATTTCTTGGCTCGTGGAAGTCTGACCACGAATGGCAAGTTGCTGAAACTGTTGCTGGACTTGTCCAGAGCTCCCCTCTGCCACAGGCTGTGAGGATGAGCCAGGTCCCGATGAGGATGGTGAAACCACCGGGGCTTGATACTGGACATAAGGGGCTTGGTGCAGCTCGGGAACTGTTCTAGATGGACCGGTGGACAAGGCGACCGCTGAGAAGCGCCGGGGACGTGGCAACGGCGGCCGGGGCGCCTCCTCCTTCTCTTCCTCCTTCCTCCTCTCCTCCTCTCCTCTCTTTCTCCTCCTCCTCCGACGGCGCGGTCAGCTGCCTGCATGCGTGTGTGTGTGTGCGTGTGTGTGGGCCGGCTGGGCCGGCGGGGTTAAATCCCTCCTTTGTCGAGTGCCCCGATCTACTACTCGGCAAAGTATTTTTTTTAATTCTCTGCCGAGTGCCACCAGGCCTATCACTCGGCAAAGAGGGTTTTTTTTTAAAAAAAAATTAAAATTATTTGTCGAGTGCCAGCTGTCCTGGTACTTTCGGCAAAAACTCCTTGTCGGCGTAAGCATGCGCAAACACTTTCGGTAAACCGTTTTTGGTTTTTTTCTTCTTTAAACTTTTACGTAGTCCTTATACAATACCTGGTACTCCATGTTCCAATGTGGCACATTTCTCGGACTTTTTTATATTTCTTTAATTTATTTCATTTAATTGAATTTTCTTGGATAATTCAAATTATAACTGCTAGTCATTCGAATAATGAAAAAATGAATGGGAAAATGATATTCATGTTATTTAGTATAATGTGAGGCAATATCCAGGAACATACCACCAATTTCAAACATCTTGTTCACGAAACATGACCACGAACTTGCGGTCGAGTTGTTTTGAAATTCTATAAAAAGCAAACGAAGACCGAAAATCTTGAAATTTATCGAGATGTCATGATATCATATGTGGAGGCTGTGATAAAAAATTGAGGAGGTTTCACGCAAGTTTGTCACGTACGATGCTTACCACTTCGTCGGCCTCTTCACGAAATTATGAAACTTCTTCGGAGATTCTTCGATTTGCAAGCATCGTATGTGACAACTTGCGCGAAACCTTCTCAAATTTTTATCACAGCCTCAACATATGATATCATGACATCTTGACAAGTTTCATGATTTTCGGACTTCGTTTACTTTTTATAGAATTTAAAAACAACTCAACCGCAAGTTCGTGGTCATGTTTCGTGAACAAGATGTTTGAAATTGGTGGTCTGTTCCTGGATACGGCCTCACATTATACTAAATAACATGAATATCATTTTTCCATTCATATTTTCATTATTCGAATGACTAGCAGTTATAATTTAAATTATCCAAGAAAATTTAATTAAATGAAATAAATTAAAGAAATATAGAAAAAGTCTGAGAAATATGCCACATTGGAACATGGAGTACCAGGTATTGTATAAGGACTGCAAAAAAAGTTTGAAGGTCAAAAGTGAAAAAAATATGGTTTGCCGAGTGTCAAAAAATGACACTCGGTAAATCACCGCTTTGTCGAGTGTCAGGAGAAGACACTCAGCAAAGGGTTAACGGCGACGGCCATTTGCCGAGTGTTCTGGTTTGCCGAGTGCCCGACACTCGGCAAATCTGATCTTTGCCGAGTGTTATTGTTTGCCGAGTGCTCGTCACTCGGCAAACCACCTTTTTATTGAGTGCCAGTTATGTGCCAAGTGCTTTCTCTTTGACACTAGGCAAATAGCCTCTTTGTCGAGCGTCCGATAAAAAGCACTTGGCAAAATCTGTAACACTCGACAAAGAAACCGTCTCCGGTAGTGTCAGGCGTACCGACCAAAACAGATTAATTAGTCGATCGGGGAAACAGTGACCTCCATCACTTAATTAACCCGCAAAATTCCACCGGCGATTTTCCATTGTGGCTGCAATTGAACTTTTCGGAGCTGACAGTAGCGTGGCGTGCTGCATGTCGTGAGTTTGTCTTCGGTCGCCATCGCCGGGGGTTCCAGCCGTCCGGGAGACCAGGACAGCGACACGATGGAGCGTCGGTGGCGCCGGGCGTCTAAGAACGGGGTTGACACTTCGACGTCGGTTATCCAATCGGCGCCTGTGGCTGGTCAGCCATGTTTGGTTGGCTGGTTCGTATCGTTGCTGATTTGTTTATGTGAGAGAAAAGTATTACTGACTGGTTCATATAAATAGTGTCTATGTGAGGGGGCTGGCCAGCCAGCCATTTCACCCAAACAGATGAGATGAAAGGAACTTCAAGTCGAAGTCGCATATCCACCGCCTATAAGATAGATGGTCCTATTTCTATCGGGGAAAGGTTTGATTCCAATTGGGTATACCTCATTCTAGAACAAGGAGGGTGTACATGTATGGTGAGATATGGGGATTCGTACATGCAAGCGTGCGCCGTTGCTTGCCATTTCACGAGCAATCGCGAGCGACATGGACGCATTGGACGCGGCCAGGCACGTGCATGCAGGAGCGAGCACGTGACGCACCAGATGGTTGGCCACGCATTTGTCTCGTCATGTAACCATGTGTTTGGTTGGGAGGATGACGTGGGACGGGGTGGGATGGACCCGAGATCAGCGCTGTTTGGTTGGGAGGCGGAGTGGAGCGAGGACGTCCCCGACGCGAATATTCGTGTGAGATGCGGGGCGACCCGTCCCCCAAAATTTCACGGACGGGGGTCCGTCCTAGGTGGGACGAAACGGCGCGGCCTTGAGAACCATGCTTGGAGATCACGGAGGAAAAAGAGGAGTGTGGGGGGCTTCACCGGCGAGCTGGGGGGATCCAATCAGATCGCCAGTGCACTTGCTGCCACAGCTCAAGCAGCCAGCCCATTTGAATCCCGATGCATAATTATTAGCCCGCCGCCAAACTCGCTTAAGATGGGTGACCTTCACCTGGCTTGGCGTGGCGGGGTGAGGGCTGCTCCGCCCGCTTAAGCCTTAAAGGCACATGAGAGCCTGGGAGAGGAGAGAAGACGATGCGTGCATGTGTAGGAAAAAGGAAGGGAAAGGAGGAAGGAAAAAATAAATAAGGAAGAAGAAAAAAGAAAAAAAGAAAAGGGAAAAGAAAAAAATCCGATGGATGTGGGCCCTATATGTCAATAGCTCATCCCACTTTTGAAGTCCCTGAACCAAACAAAAAACGGGTTGGTCCCGTCCTTTCTCAACCAAACAGAAAATGAACTCGTCCCGTCCCATAAACCAGAGACAGGACCATCCCACCCCACCTTGTCTCCCAACCAAACGCTACCTAAACCAGGCGGTGCGCGCGGATGATAAGCGATTTTCAAGGTCCACGAATCCATGGACCTAGGCTCAGAAGCTGTAGTACGCCGACCGAAACGTCTCACAACCTCTCGGCGAAATATGGCTCACCGAAACGTGGCATGAAAGATACAGAGGCTCATGCCTTGTTTAGATTGCAAATTTTTGTAATCTGGATACTGTAGCACGTTTCGTTTGTATTTAACAAACTTTGTCCGATCATGGACTAACTAGGCTCAAAAGATTCGTCTCGTGATTTACAACCAAACTGTGCAATTAGTTATTTTTTTTACCTACATTTAATGCTCTATGCATACGTCTAAAAATTAATGTGACGAAGAGAGAGTAAAAAAACTTTAAAATTTGGAGGTGATCTAAACAAGTCCTCACATCGGTTACTGAAGCACGGAAGACACTGCGCGTCCACGGATGGCAAGTGGATTCCACCTCCACGGTCCACGCAACGTCTGCGAGAGCCTTAAGACGTGGCCGTCTGCTGTCCTCTGTTGAATCCGGAGCCACGTCTCGCACTGGGCCATCCACTAAACGCGGCCCAACTACCACGCCACGGCGCACTGGCTGCAAGTCGGGCTCTCCACCCTTCACGCGCGCTTGGCCCGCCTCGTCTCTCCACCAACCAGACCAACCTCCGGCCACGGGCTCTGGTCACGGCGGCGAGCGGCCCCAGCTCCGATGGCGCCAACGGTTGAGATCAGCCACCTCTCCTTCACCTACCCCGGCATCGACGGCCGCCCGCCACCCGGAGCGCCGCCGCTCATCGAGGACGTCTGCTTCTCCCTCGACGCCGGCCAACGATGCCTCCTCCTCGGCTCCAACGGCGCAGGTACCCCCTACTACCCGCCTTTCCACCTTCTTCTTCGTTTCTCTCGGCTGTTCTGGTGTTGTCTGTTGATTGAGCGCGGCGGGGCGGCTTCGGTTTCCATGTGGTAGGCAAGACGACGATACTGAAGATACTAGGCGGGAAGCACATGGTGGATCCGAGCATGGTGCGGGTCCTGGGAAGGTCCGCCTTCCACGACACGGCGCTCACCTCCTCCGGCGACCTCTGCTATCTCGGCGGTGAGGTGAGATAGCGATTTGAGGGTCCCTTTGTTCGGTCTTGGAAATGTAATGAGCATGCCCAATTTCGCTGTCGGATGTTCCTGTCGAATCTAATCTTTGTTAATTGTGGTGCAGTGGAGACGCGACGTGGCCTTTGCTGGCTACCAGGTGAACATTCAGATGGATATATCGGCAGAGAAGATGATTTTTGGTGTTGCTGGTGTTGATCCAAAGAGGAGAGATGAGCTTATCAAGGCAGGTTAACTCTCAAAACCTGTAAAACTTTCATGGATATGTGCCCATTCTTTTCATGGAGCAGTGTGCTTGTCAGTTTTCAGATACAAGTTTTTAGTAATTGTTAACACAGTTTTATGACAGTACATATTAATTCTAGTTATTGATCATCTCATTCTCCAATGGATTATATGTCTATGCAGTCTAAAATGTTTAGTATTTACAATGGTGATTTGCTGTGAGATTCAAATTCTGTTATTTTGGATGTAGTGCTTCCACAAATGTTTCCCCGTAATCGGGAATCCCTTGTTTCTCGGGTGAGAGTATGGTTACATTTTTTTCACTGGGCGTTACCAACCGGCAAACAATATTTTTAGGGTCTGTTTGGATGGTCTAAAAGAGAAGGGCTAATTGGGGTGTCTGGCTAGAATTTAGAAGCAGGAAGGATTGGGCATAATGCGTAGATGCTGCGACTGGAGTAGAAACCGACAAGTAGCTCATGCGGATTAAAGTCCTTTTTGTCACTGAAGTAGCGGAGGTCGATGTGGACGTGGTCGAAGCCGTGGAGGGTGGTGCAAGTCTGAAGCATCAACATAGGCACATTAGTACACATAATCACTAGCTTTGCCGACAGTTGCAGCGGGATGGTGAACTGATTGGATGGTGAACGTAGACGAGGCTGACTGGACATATTGACGAGGGCTCACATGTCCATCTGCAACATTGGTGGCAACGTCCAGGAGGTGGCAACAGTAGCCTTGGGCTCGGACTGAGAGCGAGCATGATGAGGACCGGCAGTATGGGTGGCACCATCTTGGAGAGGCAGCGACTGTGAAGATGGCTTGACTACGAGCAATTTCATTGCTGCCTGGGAAGGCACACAATGACAACGTCATCCTTGAGGGATTGGAAAATAGGCGACGCAATCCTGATCTCTGACCGGGAAAAAAATAAGACAGAATAGCAGAAGTAGAGAACATCTCCGTGTAGAATTTCGGGTACCCATAGCCAGATGTCCCCCTTCTCCCTTTCTTCCACCATGGTGAACTCCATAGTTTTTAAGGCGCGGTTGTCGTCCGGGCGTTTTTTGAACCATGGCGTCGGGCTCGCCACGACATTCTCGCGTATGGCGTCGCCTTGCACCCCATATGGCGTCGACTTGCTCTAGGCGGACGCCGCGCGCGAGCGAGCGCCGGAAGAAAACCGCGCGCGGGGGAGGGAAAATCGCGCACGTAGGGTGGGAAGCTTGGGATTGCGCGCAGGAAAGGCGGGGATTGCGCGCGCTGGAGAGGGGAAATCCCGCCCGCGCGGGAAAGGCAGGATCTGCGCGCGCTGGAGAGGGGAAATCGCGCCCGCGCCTCCATATCCCGCTGCTCGCGGGAAGTCGCGCGCCTGGAAGTCGCGGGAAATTGCGCTCGCTCGGTGGAGAGGGAAGAGAGGAGAGAGGGGAAGAGAAGAGGAGGGCGACGAGAGCGAGCACCTGGAAGCCGCCGGCACCGTCTGCCCAGCTTCATCCGTCGCCTCCCCAGTCCCCACCGGATCCGCCCGCCGGCGGCTCTGTCACAGCTTCGGTGCGTGCTTTCCCCCCTCTTCCTCCCCTTGTTTGCTCTTCCAGTCTTCCTCCCTCCCTCTGTTCTGCCTCTCCTTCCTCTGCTCTGCTGTGTGGGTAGTTGCCTCTGTTATGCGCACTGCTCTTTCTTTCCTCTGCTCCTTCTACTCTGCTCTGTTGGTTGCTTGCTATTTGTGGCAGCTATGGATGCATAAGTCCATCTTTGTTTTTACAGCAGATAGCACAATGGCAAGTTCATCTTGCATCACCAGTGATTATGATCCGAAGACTGATCCAGCTCGGAAGGTGATGCCTAGATGAGGGACTGCTTGAATGGACATGCCTAGATGATGTTGAGTCGTTGACTAGAGATTTCAGATCAGCACTTATGCTACTTATATTTATTTTGCACTAGCAGTACTAGTAATTAAGTTATGTTATGTCACGAGTCTAATTTGCTCCTATTGAGAGAGGAGAGATTTCATATTTGCTATTTTGCTACTTTATGTTGTGCCCTGTTACTCTAGCAGCACTATTTATTATGGTATTATATGGTATGATTTGCTTCTGATTTCTAGTGGTATTATATATTAAGATGGTTGTATGACGTCGCCTCGCATTGCGCCTTAAACGCCTAGGCGTCTGGAAGGGGGTCGGGCGCCGCACATCGCCTTACCGCCTTAATAACTATGGTGAACTCATGGTCAACGAAGGAAACAGAGAGGGGACGGAAGATGACTGGTAGCAAGTGGTGGATCAATGGCCCAGCGTCTCCCACAGCGCGGCGTCCTCGCCTTCACAGCATGGGGAGGTACCTGGTGGGTGGCTAATCACTGGCGGCTGGGTAGATCGGGCACAACCTGGCGGTGCAACCAATGCAGCAGCCCGGCAGAGTGGTGCGGTGGCCTGGTGCCCCATGATGAGGGAGATTGGAGGGGCAGAGGACGGAGAAGAACACAGGGTGGGATGTGAGTGATGGCGCGGCAGCCTGGCGGTGCCCATGATAAGTGCTCCTCCTCTGATCTGCTGCTGCTTGACGATGCTAGGCGGCCAAAACCAAGGGCCTGCCCCTGACAAAGACCGATCTCCCTAGAGGCAGCGTGGCAGCGGTGGGAGCCTTAGGGTTCAGGAAATACCTAAACTCGTGATACCATGAAAGTAGGAAGCAATGGGTATACTGCATGGATGTTTTACATTGAGCCCTTGGGTAGTATAAATAGAGTACAGGACATATGGCAATACGGGATTACAGTATCCCTAACTACCAAATATACTCTAATAAAATTAGCCATTAGCCCATCCAAACATGTGGGGCATAATAGCAGGTTTTTTTCCCCACACATTCTAGCCATTAGCCCAGTAGCTGGCCAAAAGGGTCTAATTTAGGCTAACTTTAGCCAGCTAGTTATTGTCCCATCCAAATTGGTCCTTAGCTATTTGTATATTAGTTTGTATTTCAAATGCTTGTGGTTTTGGGTTCAACACTTAATTGAAGTAAGTGTGCAAGTGTCTTCCTGTAAAGGGCGTACTATTTAAGAAAACTAATCAATATCACATTCAGTAAGCACCAATCTTTTCTCATGGCATGATGTTCATACTTCTAATGTAATTACAAGGGCTTTGGGGATTGAGAACACCCATTTGTAAATGCAAATTCTGTCATTGTTCCCTGGGAAAGCAACAGAAGAGATCTTAATGTTCATGTTACCTTTATTATTTGAACCTATGGAAAAACATATAGGTTATATATGCTGAACGTAATTAAGTGTTAATGTTGAAAGATATCGCACTACTATTTCATTGATTAATTACTATCCTTAGCGGTTGATCCCTAATAGATTTTGGATAAGCTTAGTTTGCAAGCCTTGAATTCTGTGGAGGATGTGTTAGTTGATAATTTGAATTGGCTTCATTAAACCTAAACTTTAGACAAGTCAACCGTGCACTTGGTTTGCTAGAAAAGCTTGTTTTGTTGAACTACCTTTCTACCATGTTGCAGATTTTAGACATCGACCTTGCCTGGCGTATGCACAAGGCATCAGATGGTCAGAGGAGACGTGTCCAGATTTGCATGGGACTTCTTAAGGCATTCAAGGTTTGTTTTCCTTTTCCATGTCATCAAAGGATATCATGCTATTATCCACACCCTGAGATGTTCATAAAGAAAAAAAAACACAATGCAGGTTCTCCTCCTTGATGAGATCACAGTTGACCTTGATGTTCTAGCAAGATCAAATCTGTTAACATATCTTAAAAAGGAATGTGAGGAAAGAGGTGCAACAATCATCTATGCCACACATATTTTTGATGGTCTTGATGATTGGCCAACACACATTGTAAGCTCCCCTGTATCTCGTTGTTTATAAGCTCAAGTATTTCTTGTGGAGTTGTGGACTTAGATGATTAATGTTGTTGTTGTATTTCAAGGTTTACATTGCTCGTGGGAAACTGCAATTAGCACTGCCTTTGGAAAAGGTGAAAGAAATGAGCCAGTTATCTCTCATGGTAAGTATCATCCATCCATATAGAACAGTATGCTTTAGCACAGCATGGCCATTCACAGTATGCTTTAGCACAGCGTGGCCATTCAGATTTGCATTTGCATTTCAGAGAACTGTGGAGAGCTGGTTGAGGAAAGAAAGAGATGAGGACAGGAGGAGGAGAAAGGAGCGAAAGGAGAAAGGCCTACCAGAATTCGACAAGCTTGTCAAGGGTAGTCGGGTTATAGGTGATCCAGCAAAGAACGCAGCCAGAGTTGCAAACAACGGGTGGGCAGCAGGGCGCCTCACCTCGACGATCGCAGGAGAGGAGAATTTCGTTTTCAGCTCAAACATCGTTCTTAGGCAATGATATTGTTTTGTACGTTGCTTTTTATTTATTGAAAATGGTAAATAACAGTCTTGCAGATCCAATAGATACACCATTGGAGCTTTGGCATTTACAGCGAAAGTTCCGTCTGGAAAGGAGAATTCTCTCTCTATAGTTTGGATATTTACAATGTACGGAGTAATTTTCTTCGCAGCTGAGTGTTCTAGAAAAAGAAATTGCACTGTAACAACGTATATATACTGCGTACCACATTTGTGTGCACTGTAACAACGTATATATACTGCGTACCACATATTACTTAGGTCGGGTTACCAGATGTTGTCATGTTTGTTCATACGTAAATGCAAGGCAAGGGAACTGTATGGCCAAAGTGGAACAAATGCATAAATACAGAGCATGTGAGATGTGAGTTGACAAAAAAGATTGTTGAATTACATACATGATAATATGTTTCGTTCCTAAATAGATTCTGACAAAACTGATATGTTTCGTTCCTAAACTTTGTTCTGTTGTAGTTCTTGCTATTCTGATAAAATTGTGTCGGTAAAATCTGGGATGTTTTCCAAGTATTCTTCGCAGCATGTTGTTATAAGCTAGTATCACTGATAATCCTTGCAAACACTACTTTTACCATACAAAACGGAAGTCAGTTTTAGTCTTTTTCAAAGTATTTTATTTTAAACTTTAGCTAGATTTATATAAAAAATATATATTATTATCTATAATATAAAATAAAGGCACCGTCAAGGGATATTTCTTGATGGATTTAAAGAACTAATTTATAGTTAAAGATGTTTGTGTATTTTGTATAGACTCAGTCAAAGCTAGTGAAATACAGAATGGTCTGGTTCCTTCCTAAAAGACTTATTACTAGCTTTCAATAAAGTCAAATTTCTTTAATTTGACCAAGTTTATAGAAAATGGTATCACAATTTTTAAAATCAAATAGCTTTACTATGAAAATATATTTAATCTAGTGATATTTATCTGCATTATAAATGTATTGTAAATGCCGTATTCCTTATAAAGGAACTAGGTCAAATTAAGTTGCTTTGAGTAGAATAAAGGTAAAAATAAAGTTTTTGTTTGCACATAAGAATTAGCCCCCCTCTAAAAACACACATATATATAATAAGTTTTCGAATTTTTCGAAACAACAAACATCAATAGTGCATCTATAGATTTGCATTGCTACAGAGCTTTAGATGCAAACTCAATCTAAAACAAATATGAAAAAAAAACTTGTGTGCTTGCACTAGAAGACAAAAATATTGAGATTTTGTCATTTAGCACATATCCACATGAAACTTATCATTTTCTTATGAAATTTTACAAAACGATTTTGCATCTCCACTTCTGCAATAATGTACATCAATAGATGTGCTATGAACCTGCATCATTTCAAAAAAATTTAAAAGTTCTGAGTATCTTTTTTGAGGGGTTTTCACGTTTCCATGGTTTGAACTCAATATTTTTCCTAAGAATTATATTTTGGACGGAGGGGGTAAATGTGATTCGAGAACTTTACAATTTCGAAAGTACAGAACCATAAACCCACCATCTTTTCGGCGAGTGCAATCCTGCGAAGTGGCCATCCGTCGGCAAGGGCCGACTTCCTGTGCTCGTTCCTGTCATACCTCGCCGCCATGCGCCTCCCGCCCGTCCGCTTCCTGCCGTCGAGCTCGGCGCCGGCGGTAGTGGACGCGAACGCGCGCATCGCCCGGCTGGCACGCACGGGGAACATGGAGGGCGCCCGCGCCACGTTCGAGGCCATGCCGCTCCGCACCACCGCCTCCTACAACGCCTTCCTTGCCGGCTACTTCCGCAATCACCTCCCCGACGCCGCGCTCCGCGTCTTCCAGCGGATGCCCTCGCGGGACCTCGCCTCCTACAACGCGCTCATCTCTGGCCTCTCCCTGCGCCGTCACACCCTCCCCGACGCCGCCGCGGCGCTCGCCACCATCCCCTACCCGCCCTCGGTCGTCTCCTTCACATCCCTCCTGCGCGGGTACGTGCGCCACGGCCTCCTGGCTGACGCCATACAGCTGTTCCGCCAGATGCCTGAGCGCAATCACATATCGTACACGGTGCTGCTCGGTGGCTTCCTCGACGCCGGCCGTGTTGACGAGGCTCGCAAGTTTTTTGACGAAATGCCTGCAAAGGATGTTGTTGCGTGGACTGCCATGCTGTCTGGGTACTGCCAGGTTGGTCGGGTCGCTGAGGCGCGCACACTGTTTGATGAAATGCCAAAGAGGAATGTTGTATCGTGGACCGCTATGGTCTCTGGCTACACTCAGAATGGGCAGGTGAACCTTGCTCGGAAGCTGTTCGAGGTGATGCCTGAGCGAAATGAGGTGTCGTGGACTGCAATGCTATTTGGGTATATACAGGCTGGCCGCATAGAGGATGCTGAGGAGCTGTTTAATGCAATGCCAGATCACCCATTGGCCGCCTGCAATGCGATGATAGTTGGGTTTGGGCAGCGGGGGATGTTGGATGCTGCCAAGGCAGTCTTCAACAGGATGTGTGAGAGAGATGATGGAACATGGAGTGCAATCATCAAAGCATATGAGCAGAATGAGTTCTTGATGGAGGCACTATCTACCTTCCGTGAGATGTTGCACATTGGAATCCGTCCAAACTACCCATCAGTCATCAGCATCCTCACGGTCTGTGCAGCACTGGCTGTTCTTGATTATGGGAGAGAGTTGCATGGTGCAATGCTGAGGCGCTCCTTTGACATGGACATCTTTGCCGTGTCAGCATTAATCACAATGTACATCAAATGTGGCAATTTGGATAAGGCCAAAAGGGTCTTTGACATGTTTGAGCCCAAAGATGTTGTGATGTGGAACTCCATGATCACTGGCTATGCTCAACATGGGTTGGGAGAGGAAGCACTCCGCATATTTGATGACATGAGGTTGGCTGGGATGGTGCCTAATGGAATTACATACATAGGGGCCCTTACAGCATGTAGCTACACAGGAAAAGTTAAAGAAGGCAGGGATATTTTTAATTCTATGGGTACAAATTCTGGCATCAAACCTGGATTGGAGCATTATGCTTGTATGGTTGATTTGCTTGGTCGAGCTGGACTTGTGGAGGAAGCACTGGATTTGATAAAGACCATGCCAGTTGAACCAGATGCTGTCATCTGGGGAGCTTTGATGGGAGCCTGTAGGATGCACAAGAATGTTGAGATTGCTGAGATTTCTGCTAAGAAGCTTTTAGAGCTAGAGCCTGGAAATGCTGGACCATATGTCTTGCTCTCTCACATTTATACATCCTCTGGAAGATGGGAAGATGCTTCTAAGATGCGGAAATTCATTAGCTCAAGGCATTTGAACAAATCACCAGGCTGTAGTTGGATAGAATACAACAAGAGGGTGCATCTCTTTACATCGGGTGATGTATTAGCACATCCAGAGCATGCTATTATCCTTAAAATGCTGGAGAAGTTAGATGGGTTGTTGATGGAATCTGGATACTCAGCTGATGGAAGTTTTGTGCTTCATGATATAGATGATGAGCAAAAAACTCATAGCCTACGGTATCACAGTGAGAGGCAGGCTGTGGCATATGGATTATTGAAAATCCCAGAAGAATTGCCCATTCGTGTCATGAAAAATCTCAGAGTATGTGGTGATTGCCACTCTGCAATAAAGTTGATTGCTAAGATAACATCTCGGGAAATCATACTGAGAGATGCAAATCGGTTCCATCATTTCAAAGATGGGTTTTGTTCATGCAGGGATTATTGGTGAGGTGAATGCTCTAGTAAATTCCTTGCTTCACATCATCGCTTTGATGACCCTTTCATTTGGTAAGTCTCGTTACCTTTTTTTTTTTGAGCGGAAAGTCTCGTTACTCAAGACAGTCACCCTTAGTTTTCCAAATCATTAATTAAATTAGCTACGATACATACTTCCTATTGATTTCCACTGAAAGGCCTCACTGTACCTTGTTTAGTAATATCTTAATCTATTATAGGAAACACATTCAGGATGTTATTTCCACTGAAGATGAGGTACATCCAGGATCCGCACATGGTCAACTGTGAATTCTATTGTAATGCAGAGCCTCTGATTTGAACATGAACAATTTATCTTTTGAGTTGATACAGTCTGGCGAAGAAAGCTATGAGGTGAAAATTACTGTTATATGATATCTACTTAAGTCATATTTCATTTGGAAAATTTGTGCGCTCATTTAGATTCATGTTTTTAATTTCACATTAAACTTCGACTCTGCAGATACTAGTACCTTGTATGATGTTCAGAATCATAGATGTGAAACATTGACTAGCAGCACTCAGTATTTCATCTTAAAGCACCTCACCAAGTTTGGCGAATAGTCACAATTCACAAAACGACAGAGCAACGACTGCACATTATGCTTTTATGTGCAGGTTGTCACTGGTCAGATTAGACAATTACTTGTGGAGATCAAGTATGGAAATTCACTTACATTTCTTGTAACATAATTCTACCACCAGCAGGGACCAAGGTAAAGCAACTACCTTTTTTTCTTTAAAATGTTACTGTGTTCATTTGTATATGTGGACATCAATTTTTTTTCTCGAACATGCTGGAGAGCTGTGTATCATTATATTAATAGAAGAAGAGAGAGTCATACATAGACCCAAACCCACACACAAACACCCACTAATTATTCCTTGTATTGTATGTAAATATGTAAAGTTTCAGAAAAAAGAGTGTAATATATGTTTTCAGGTGAAACCAGTTAGTTTGGCAAGGTCTTTGTTACAGAATAATTTGCACCAGATTTTATTGTCAAAACTGAAGTAATGATGCTGATTCATGAACTGCAGGTACAAATTTGAAGAATGAGGCATAGCTTTGTAACATCTGCAACATCCGTAGTCCTTGTTCATGAATCTAAAGGTACACCGATTGGATAACATAGTTGGAGTTGTCACTATTACTATTGAAGATCGACTTGAAATGAAAAAAAAAATCCAACTGTTATTTAAAAGTTGACCTGAACTGAAGTAAATTTCAACTGAAACTGTAACCAGCATAAGAATATTTGCTCTAGATTGATCATGAGTGTAAAGATTAAAGTGCCATAGTTCCAAGGATGGCTGCACCTGCAATGTGACAAACCTGTGCGAGCCAGTGAGCTATAAGCCCACATTGTCAATCGGTAATTTCCTTGTTTCACTGCATTAAGGTTCCACCAACTCCCGAGTCGACCTGTTCCTTTCCCTTCCATTCTGCCTCTGTCAAGTGGTAGGAAGAATGATCTGCGTTCTGTGTTTCTATTATTATCCTATCCTTTTCACGACGTACATCTTTTGACAAAGCATACAGGAGGAATGACCATCGACGGCAGAAAGAGCACGTGAGCAACACGGTAGCTAAGAGTTGTACCCGTGGAAAATGGTATATCTGTACGATGTCAAATTCTTTGATTTTTTCTTACACAAGTTACGAAACACTGCTCAAATAGTGCAAGTACAAAATCTTTTATATACAAGCCTCCATCTCTGTTCCAAAAACCTGCAGATAACACTACCGGAGTATGCTCGATTGAACTGAACCAAGTGCAAATGAAGCAGCTTCTGAAGTTAGCTCTCCTACTGCTCTCGTTCGAAAAGATGGTTCTCTTGCTGCCGTTGCTTGCTCTGACCTTTTCTTGCTGCGATGTGGCAGCCCTGAAGCTGCACGTGTTAGTTTGATCTTGGGCCATTGGATCCGCGTCCTGATCGGGGGCGTCCAACCGCTCCATGGTTGGTGGCCCCCCGTCGCACAGCACTATAAAAGGGAGGTGGGGGCCGGGGCACACAGTACGAGGTTTTCCTGAGCCGCCGCAATCCTCCTATAGAGAAACCCTAACGCTAACCGATCAAGAGAGACGGTGCTGCCAGCGGCGGGAAGTGCCATCACCGCTGCACCTCGCCTCCAACTTTGTCGTCGCTGGTGCCACTGCAACTCCTACACCGACGCGAGGGGACTCGGACAGGACTCACTCTAGGTAACGATGAGCAAGTTCATTTCAGTTAAGTTAAACACCCACTGGATTTACACCTAGAGATCCTTAAAATAGTCTATCAATGGTATCAAGAGCCACGCTAGGGTGTAGATCTAAGTCTTGGGGTAGAAAAGAAGAACGAATTTAGAAGGAGATGAACAGGTTTTCAAATTTCCTAAATCCTAACTCTAATTCTAGATCAGAGACGGTGGGATTTTACCTAGCCATTACCGTCGGTCGTCGTCTCGACGCCGCTCGGGAAGCCACCCGAGCGGCCGGGGGGGGGGGCGAGCAGAAACGGGAGTAACCCTAACCCTAATCCGATGAATGATGGACGGACGGGACAGGGGCCTACCTAGGGCTCACCTACCGTTGTCACCACCGCCGCCGTTGCTCCGATGTCACGCGGGAAGAACCACCCAAGCCGCCGACCGGGAGGTCACGCCACTGCGTGGCCTACGCCTCGGGCTTCGGGGTCAAGGGCGCAGCCACAAGGCCGCTCGACGGCGACGCGCTCAGCCTTGGGTGAGCGCGCGCGCGAGCGAGGGCCCCCGCAGTAGCGCCGCCACCTTCCTTCTCTCCGGCCACCATGGGCTGCTGTCGCGTCGTGGTCGTCTCTGATTGCGGCGCTGAGGAAGAGAAGGGGAAAGGGAAGAGAAAGGAAGAGGAGGAAGGGGAGCCGGACTTGGTCCGGTGGCAGTCTTCCTCACCGGTGCCGACGACCACCGTGGCCACCGCCGTTGACGCCTGCGCGGCGAGAGAGGGCGACAGAAGAAATGGCTAGGGTTTTCCGGGGGACGGCGCCGTCGTGGTTTTGATCCTCCGAAGCGCGTGCTCAGCCGTTCGATCTGCATCGACGGTGCAGAAGCCACGGGCCGGAGGCCGCCCCAGGCGGGCGCGAGCGGGCGAGCCGCTTTCTCGGCCCAGGCCCAGGTTGCGGCCTGGGAGGGAGCCGCGCGCGCGCAAGGTAGGCCGGGCCGCTTTCTTGGTCGGGCCGAAGAAACAGTATTGATTTGAGTCTATTTTTCCTTTTTTTCACAGTAAATTGTTATTTCCTGGAAAATGATTAATGGCTCAAAGAAAATTAGTAAAGAGAATTTTCTCGTGGATAAAATTCACAAATTAAGTTTAAGTTTCCACTGCAAAGTTTAATGTTTATTATCTTTCAATTAAATTTGAACCAACAGGAGAATTTATTTTGAAGAGCAGTTATATTTAGTAAATTATGATTATGTTGATCCTCTAATTAAATTAGAACCGACGGGAAAATTTAATTAGAGGAGTAGTCCGTTTTTGTTTATTATTAAATTATGGTATTGTTATTTTCTGACCAACGTTGATGATAACAATATTATAATGAGTTTAAGTTTGAGGTTTAAATCTCTGATAAATTTCACACCAACATGGTCAAATTTTCAGAGAGTAGATAAGGACCAAGAAATGCTCCTGAACTAATAGAATGTATTTTATTAACATGTTTCCGCTGCAATGAAGATGATTATCTTTCAATTAAATTCGAATCAACGGGATAATTTAATTTTGAAGAGCAGTTATATGGATTTCAAGTTAATTTATGAGATTTATGCATTAATTCTATTTTTTGACTAACGGTGATGTAGAATTGATGCAGAAGCATATTGTATGTTTTATTTTAACCGACGAGATCACTCGGCTGCATGCCAACGGGCTGCAATGCTGGGGTATGTGAATGAAAAGGCATGAGTCAAACCAGTTCAGGACATATTTTTGTTAGTTTACTAATTTTCTGATTAAATTGAAACCAACGGAAAGATTTAATTGGAAAATAAAGTATAAATGAATGTTTTAGTCGTTATGACTAAGTTTTCGTATAGATGTATCCCGTATGGAGAGAAGTTTTGGTATAGTACTTATACTAATCAATCCTGCATGACAGGAGAAGTTTTGTTATGATTCACATGTTTGTATCCCGCATAGCGAGAGAAGTTTGGGTAGCTCTTATGTTGTCCCAGTATTGACCACGGCACAATAAAAATGCATCGTCATGGTCAATACTAATCAAAGGATAAGAAGAAGATGCAAGCGTGACTTGCAAAAGTACTGCTAATGAAAGACCTCGTTGAGTTCTTAAAGTGAATTAAGGAAAGTGTGCTCCTAAACGAATCAAGAAATAACTTTGTTTACATGATATAATCATGTGAATGAAGTAAGTTAAAAGTGTCTCCTCGTTTACAGGTTTTCTGAATAGTTATCGAAATTATGGCAGAAAAGTTCATGCCATATTTCGAGGGGAAGAAAAATATAAAGATCAATTAAGAAAGATACTCTTCATTAAGAGTGAGATAAATATTAATTAAGATGAATGTGACCGTCTGAGGAGTACAACGGTTACAACAATAATACCCCTAAGCAGTGAAATAGCTAAATTTCTGGACTTTTTAAAGTTCCGACAGGAAAATAGCGTAGTCAGTCTCAAATATGTTAAGGTGGTGCTTAAAGCGCCATATGAAATTTTAACGGATTAAACCCAAAATAAGATATTTGAAGAAATACTATCTTTAGAAAAGATGAGAAGATCTGGGGGAGCAGGTATATAGAAGTATGTAGAGACCTAAGATTTGAAGAGAAGAGGGACTGCGTGCCCACTCCAGTGACTCAGGAGCAACAAGTTTCTTAATACCTGTTGATATTGTATGACCAATACAACACCTGTTGTTAGCTCTTCGAAGAAGATGAATAATGAGGATCTTGTTATACAGGAGCCTATAGAATCAATTGTCTCTTGGTAATGAAGAGCAACAACAGCCCCATATGAAAGTGCTAGTAGCTGAGGTCCCAGAAGGTCTCAAAGAATTAGTAAACCAGTTTTCTGATGACTATGAAATTTATGTTAGTAAAGAAATTCAAATAGAGGATGATCCCACCTCATTTGAAGAAGTCATGAGAAGCGTTTACTCGTTTAAATGGCAAAAAGATATAAAGTTGAAATGTATTCGATGAGTACCAACGATGTTTGGGACTTAGAAGTAATTCCTAATAGAGCCAAAACAGTAGGCTGTTAATGGGTCTACAAGACAAATTGACTCCAAAGGAAATGTAGAAAGATATAAAGCACGACTTATAGCAATATGCTTTACGCAAAGAGAATGAAAAGATTACAATGAGAGTTTTCTCTCTAGTCTAATGCAAGGACTCTTTTAGAATCATAATGGTGTTCATGGCACATTACGATTTAGAAATACATCAGATAAATGTAAAGACGGTATTCCTAAATGGGGATTTATATGAAAACGTTTACATGACATAACCCAAAAGGTTTTTTATCATGGAAGAAAAGAACATATGGGATGTCGCCTGTAGAAATACATTTATGGGTCAAAAGTAAGTCTCTATACACTAGTATTTTAAGTTGATGAAACAATGATAAGAAAGTTTGGGTTTTTAAAGAAAATGAGAAGAACAATAGCGTTCATACGAAGTTTAAGAATGGAAAATTCATTTTTCATATCC